ATCACAGACGATGCTCAGGCCCCGTACACACATACACAGATGAAGGTGGGAGAAGAGACGAAGGAGGTGGGAGATGTAGGTAGCGCCAGATGTCACCGAGATAGAATCCAGTAGGTCACCGATATGGTAGTCCAAAATGTCATCGAACAAGATCAAAATGTCTTGGACAATAAGTCACCAATGTCGGAGGTACAGAGTCCTAACGTAACCGGTGTCCAATCTGTGATGCTGCCGAGTATCAACCCCAACAATCTCCGAGTCTCGAATCCGGTAAGTACCACAGCCTCTTACCACCGAAGTCCAACACTGGTCTCTGTCCAACTCGTATCAAGTCTCCAGTCTGAAGAAGAAGAAGAAGAAGAAGAAGAAGAAGAAGTCTGAAGAAGAAGGAGAAGAGATGGCAGAGGAGGTGGAGGTGAGGAGGAGAGAGCCTGGGGCCGTGGAGGGAGGAGAAGAACCCCTCGCCTCCTGGTACCTGGCTTAGGCGGTGTCCGACTGCAGGTCGAAGGCGGCTTTGGCCGTCGCGCTGCTGATGGATGCTGCCTGGCTCCTCGCTCGTCGCTGCTGCTGCGCTAGCTCGCGCTGCTGCTGCTGCTTCGCTCCTGCGCTAATATTAGCGCTCTGCCTCAACCGATACGCACTGGCGCTGATGCAGCATGCCAGTGGCTCGATGCCTCAGAATGAGGCTGAACCGGTGTTAAGTACCAGTGGGGCCGAGGCCGGCCTCAATGTTGCGCCATGGCCGTGACCTGAACCGTCAAGATCGACGGTTCAGATCAGACCGGCGGGCGGCAGCCTCAAAAGCGCCGCCAGGCCCAAACGGTAATGTCGTTTGGGCCTGCCCGTCGGGTCTGGTCCTAAACTGTGGCCTTTATGGCCTGCTGTACCCCAAGTCCGGGCCTTTAGGCCCTGCTGTGTCCCTCTGGCCCTAAGTTGGGTCCTGTAGGACCCGTGTGGCGTCGAAGATGTAACATTCTCTCAGCACACTATGTATCAGTGTTCAAACAAACAAGCGCTGAGGGGGAACTCCTGTTGCTTCTCTCAGCGCACTATGTATTAGTATTCAACCAAACAAGCGCCGATGCCCTATGAACAAAGATTTAGGGGGGACTCCTCTGTTGCTTCTCTCAGCGCACTATGTATTAGT